GGTAAGGCTTTTATTTATTCAAGTGTCTTCACGAACCATTTTGATTTATATCTTTGTTGATTTCTCTAGCTGATTCGTTTTGGCTCCGTGTGAACTGTAGTATCACTTGAATGGACTACACTTGTACATAGTGCCTATTGTGCTTATTTATTCGATTCAAAATTTTTGAATATTCCCTTAAACCTTAGTAATGCTGTTTTGCGTTGCAGTAATTTTGGTTTCCTTTTTTGCAGCCGATATTCAGTTCATGGCCCCAATTTTACGCAATCCTACATGATCAACCACCGCAAATCCTTTGGCACGTACACCTTCATAGCCATGGACGCCTGTCCGACCCCGGGAATAAAACGTCCACACAACTTTTTCGGCCTCATAACCACGGTGAGTGCTGTCAATTTCGTTGTCCTTCCTTATGATGTATTTTTTAACTAATGATAAGTGGCAAAACTCGTGCAAATACTGCTCTTTAATTACGAACTGTTGGCCTCTTCACCAGTGAGAGTCTCATTTTCGTGAAGTTGGATGCTAGTCTGTTTTTGCTTTGCCTGCAGGATCTCGCCAAGTCTCTCCAGTCCTTTTCCCTCAAGGCCTTCGACAGCAACCAAACCTTTTGGTTCGGCCACTATCCCACATCCACGATAATTTCACCCGGCTACGATCTTCGCAGTCTAATCGGGTGAGTTGTCTGCTGTCTGTCGCCGTGCAACCAGTTCATTCGCATCCCTTCACTGCAGTTTCAGCCCCCCCTCCCCTTTAACCTGTTTTTGTCTTTGGAATCTAGCAAGACGGCTCACAGCTACTTCTGCGGTCATTTGCACAACCTGCTGAATCTGGTGCCAAACATGTACACCGTGCAGCCACAGGGCTTCCTGGAGCTAGAACTTGCTGATTGGCGGGGCGGCAGATTGTGAGTTTGCGTTGAGTAGTTGTTGCCCTCCGGACAGTGCCTCCCTTCGGGCTGTCTAGAATTTCAAATGTCTTACAATTCAATTCCGCGCTCCCTTTGTTCGGGATTGCAGTGTTCTCGCTTAACCCATGTGAACAATGCTGCTCTACTTATCATGGCCCTCGTAAGTAAGGAATAAAATGCGATCCGGAATGTTCAATAATGTGTGTGCGTCAATCTTGGCTAGATAGCGTGAAACAGCCCTTGGTTCGTTGGGTAGGCGGGTAGACTTGTTGTCACTGTTGTTGCCTCCTTTCTCAGTGACTCACTCCGCGTTGGTAGTTATTCGATTCCTTTATTTTTAAACATACTATATCTATTATCTCTTTGGAATGCTCTCGCCGGCTGTCTTATGAACCGAGATCAATTTCAGGGACAAAGTCTACTTAGAGGCAAATTTCGCCCAATAAAATGCTTTTCTGGTCCGAAAAGTTTGTAGTACGACGAGGCGATGTCTAGAGAATGTGGTGGGCTAAACAGAAGTGACATGACATTCGAATGGAATTCAAGTGATGCAGTGAATGAACAAACATGTATGTGGTTTTTTGCATGGTGTGGTTGGCGGTGAGGGTGAATGCACAGGTTATGCATAATCTGTACTTTCCACCACTCTGGAGTCCTCTCGCTATCTGTCTTCTAAATCGAGAGTTCGTCGAAGGGATTTCTGGACAATAGGATGAACCAGACCCAACATCGTGGGCCGAATTCCTGATTCCCTCTAAAGTGACCCTGTCTCTAGGCCGTCATGTGTTAGCTTGCTTGAGAATGACGTCGTCATGGTGTTTTGAAGTTATACGACATGTTCAGCAGTTGTGGTTCTGTTGGAGGCCCAGATGTGGAATCTGGAGGAAAAACAAGCTGACGGTTTCAGAGGATACATTTGTGCTGATTTCAGGAAAGGTTCTTGGTGATTTGCTGGTACTGTGAGCTCCGTTTAAGGGGCTGTACGATTCGATGGTCCGTTTGTGACCACTAGGCGAAGCTGAAGGTGTTCGAAATGCCTGTTGTGCAGCGGAAGGAAACTCCGCATCGCAATTTGGGACGGATTTAAAGTTCTTCACACAGGTTTTGATTTTTCCAGTGTCTCTACTCGTTACCGATTGCATTGTGAGGGATTTTCCTTGAGGAGGTTGAACACACAGATGCCTCAGAGTAAACTTTAATGACTCAGTGCAAGTGAAGACCATTTGTCGGGCGTTGTCCATCTGAGTCCGCCATACTGGCCGCGTCGCCCGTTACACCGTGATTCTTATCCGCCCTTGTCTCTGTTTGGCTACTGAGATTCAATGCACAAGGATGGAGGATGTGTAGAATACCCGAGCCCTAATTTGAAAGAGACAGGTTTAACAGAATAGGCTCAGTTGACCAATCAAAAGCCGGAACCGTACTTCATGCGCCATCCATCTTTGCCTCTGATTGGCTGGAGATCGTCCTTGCAGGCCATTCAAACGCACAAAGACCGAGGATTGGCTGAGTTCTGCGGGATACAACATGTCTGCGCCGTAGCACGGCACTACAGTCGCCACGGCATTAGTGAGCCTCGACGTTTATTGGGTCACCAGTCGGTACAGTTAGAAATCGATGTTGCTACCCTTTAGAGCTGTTGACCAATGACTTTTGCTCACCATGAGCACTAACTCATAGACGTGTTCATTGGAGATGTGGAGCTACCGCACCACGAAACCGATGAGGTTATTTGTCTCGCCGTGACCCTTCACCCCTTGCCACATGTTGTTTGCTGTTTGGTGATTTTGTGTGGTGCTTAGTCGTCTCATTCCGTCGGATCCGACAATATGTAGAGGATGGGCAGTATGTGAAGTATGCAGACTGTTTGACTGTCTGCTTTTTTGCAAATAAACACCGACAGTTGGTGTTACTCCTGAGTTGATGATTTGACAAAAACGGCATAATTCGAGATTTTAGAACGGTGCACGTAGTTTGAAGACAGGCATCGTTTATTCCTACACTCGGTGCAAAAAAAGAGTTGTAATTCACATTGAGGTTTGGGTTGTTTTAAAGAATCTGGCGCACAGGTTGGGGACATTTGTCATTTCCGACCAGGTATCTCGTACTTTCAGGCGTGTGTAGTGGTCATTTCTGTTTGCTGTCAGACTTGTGTGAGTAACGGTTACTGATTACTTTGACAGCTTCCGGATCGTCGCTGTTGACAACGACTTGGTGTCCTTCGTGGACGCCCAGATGCACAAGCGCGACAGCGACGACTGGCCGCTTGTTTTAATCACCAATCCCAAGGATGCTGGCTTCTTGTTGCCGAGCAAGGAGCCAACTGAACGAATCCTCAAATCTACTCACATTCGGTATGTCAGTTGCAAGTGGAAGTCCACTTAAATACTGCCATTAAAATCTGTTTTTGATAATCATCATTCTGGTGGATGTGCTCGTAGTTGTCTCGAAAACACCACTGCGCAAGGTCATTGCTGTGATTGGTCTGTGTGCGTCCAATCATATTTGGGTTTCGGTGTAAATTTTCAGACTAAACACCCAGGTGATTTCCAACATTTGCTAGGCGAGATTATAACATGACGGTCGCCTAATAAGTAGTTGACGCGATTTTCGAAAGTAAAATCAATTGGCTGAAGAAGTTAACGTAGTAGCCGGTGTAGAAGCCATGCCACATCGCCAAGAAGATCAGAGTTGGGCATCGAAATAAGGTCTTGTTGCCGAGGTAACGCAGTTGTTTTCAGATCCATCTGTCAAAATACCGTCCATCGCTAGGAAAGTTTACTTGAGTGGACTTGATTGGACAACGAGATTGAACTATTTTGTGTGGAATATCGCTGAGTTCCACGGCATTTTTTGGCGGGGGGTAGGGCTCTTAGATGAACGCTGGTGGTGTTTTAAATGGAAATGAAGACTGTGTCATCGCGACCCAACTTGGTATTAATCTATTCACAGATCAACTGTCATTTTGAAACCGTATTTGGTTTGTGGCGTGCAAATTTGATTAGCAAATTACACCCCGCCCTCCTTCTTTAAACTAAGTTTACCACCTGTTCTTGCGAAGAATTCTCGCCTGGTCACGGTACCCGATACAGCGGGTGTCGGTGTCGATTGACGGCGCGTTCGTTGGCAATGCGAGGCCCGCTAAGCGCCACGACGCCTCCATCGTCGACTCCCCGCTCTACGTGCTTTCGTGGGACCCCGCGGCGCTGGCCAGACGCGGCCCCCCCTCCGGCCACGTCGCGCATTCAATCGAGGTGGTCTGCGAGGTGAGTGTGTTCCCTCCCCTCCCACCCCCTCCACCCCTCCCCGCCTTAGTGTATCCGCGGTCTGCATTGCGAGTTGGCTGAGTGGCATTGTTGCGTTTTTAGGACACGAAACACAACGTGCGCACGGTCAGGCAGTCCTTCACACTTGACGGCACAGCTCGGTGGAACTTTGGTGGCGTGCAGAGCTTCATTCTTCTCAGCGATCAAGCATCCGGTGTAGGTGATGTTCCTCTTCTCCCCCCCCCCCTATCCTAGTCTCTCTCTCCCTCTTTCGGTGCTTGGCATAACCGCGACTACAAAACTAGTCGATTTACATGCTGAGGGAGTCCGGCAAGATTACTGCTCGCCTTCCATGAAGACGTGATGATCAAGTGTCTAAGGTCACTTGGCCGCATTCCGGACAGTGTCTAGGGCTAATTCAATCTCTCATGAACCGCCTTAATTGTGTTAAAAGTCGACGGAAACTTGGTTGATACCTAACTTTTGTGGATTGTTTTTGCAGCCACGGAACGCAAAATTCAAAATATGTGGGGGGTTACCCAATGTTTGGGTTCTGCTTGAAGTTTAAAGAAACTCACCCAATACAATCAATCAGTGCTTTCGAGTTGCATCCCACGCACCTGTGATTGGTTAGCTGTCCGCCAATGATATTAATGATAACGTGACGGTCGTTCCTATTGGGCGAGGAATATTGAAGGAATTGGATTGACAGTGGAAGATAAACCATTAATTAAAATCCATTTCTTGCTTACGCAATGTTGGATTTTAATTCAAAGAACAAAAGTGAACTTTCTTTTTTCACCAACAAATTGTCATGTTTGAATGAATCAATGAATGAATAGGCGTTCATGCTTCCCTCAGGAATTTGAAATACATTCCTCCTAACTAAAGTGCGGTGTGTTTTAGTTACATTTATCCGAAAATCCATCGGTCTTCACCAGATAACAGAAAATGACAGTCCCTTGACCTGTGATGTCACGAATCATGCCTTCTTCACGACTTTTGCTTGTTTCCTAGTTGATGGTTGTATTCTACCTGGTTTGGCTGGCACCGTTCCTAACCCTGGTTACCGCGCGCATGTTTGGATCGACTCGATTGTGTGAGTTTACAATCAGTATTTTCGAACCTGTACTCGTTTGTTCTGAGCACACGCTACTCATTGTGATTGAAGTAGTCGTCCCTAAATATCCTGTTAATTGAAAACATTTGCTACATGCTACTTATAGAACTAAACGTAAAGAATCTCACTTTCTGTTGTTATTTATAGATTGTCGATTATGTGAGGACATCTGTCAACTGG